GAGTGTTTTTCACTTTCAAAATTACTTTTTAAAAGTATATTTTTTCTCTTCTAGAAAATATTTTCCAAAAAGGGGTTTAGAAAATAAAGAAATAAAAAAACAAGAGTATAGAAAGTATATTATTAATTAATAGGGATATATTTAACAAAAAGTTTGGAATTATTGTCTAGTTTAGAAAGTTAGTGAATACCCATGACACAAAAAAAGTTATCCATCTTAGTGAGTCTAAAAAAATAAAAGTAATTGATTATATGATTATAATAATTGATTATTTTGATTTTTGTTGATTTATGAAAATCATGAGTTTCAATAATAATCAATTAAATAGTTAAATAATCAATTATATTATCTCTTAAAAAATTGATTTCAGTAATATATAATTTATTAAATAATAAAATAATTTATTATATTGTTCATTGTTTAATCCCAAGAGTTATGATGAAAAAAATTTGATTATGAGAAAAATAATCAATTATTTCAATTTTCATTTATAAATATTAAGTTTTTTGTCCTATTTTAATTAGTATGACTCCATAATACATTGATAAAATAAAAAAGGAAAAAAGGAAAATAGTGAGAGTGATTTGTAAAATTCTTGATTCATATTAAATAGCGAATTCAAGAACTCCTATGTGAGAATCAATCAAAGAAAAAATGGAATTATCAAGCTAAGTTTTAGATTTGTGTGATTATCACGAAAATCAAATGATATTTTAACCCTTGCTTAAATTTGTGTATGTTTCTCAAGTTTTTTTTTAGTAGTATTCTACATAGGTCTGAAATGTTCTGATGTATTTCACAAAACCTTGTGGTTTTTGGACATCTTTTGTATGATTGTTTATTAACAAAGACAAACTTAGCATTTTTTTTAAGGGAAAGATATCAATCGAGATGATTAAGAATTGAATGTGTAGATTATAGTGGAGTGTTAAAATAATTTTTTTTTTGTGTGTCTGTTTCTATTTCTTTAAATATATCAGCTTTACTTTTTGAATTTATGTTAAAATTGAAACAAGATCTATGTATATTGCAATATATATGATACTTTGATCATATAGTGTGTTTGGTAAATAAAAAAGAAATAGATATGAGAAATGAAGTAAAAAAAATAAAAATAAAATAAATAGAAATAGATAAAAAATAGAGTTTGCTGTCCATGGTGATTGAGTGGCTCGCATCGTCTGTCGCTCGTCTGATATGGCTTCTAGTAGAAACCATGCAGGTGGCCGATAAGAGCTGTCTTGATCGGCCCCACGGTGGGCGCCAAATGTTCTTACCGGATTTTGGTCGTAGAGGTGATCCGTCCAGTAAGATCGGTGAGCCTCCTTTGCTGATGTGTAGGTGCTCCAAGATGGGGGAGGTACCTGCAAAAGAGACTCCGATGCCAAAGTTAGGGTTTGTATGAATAATAGTCTTGTATATATAATGCACGTACCTTGGAGTAGTTTAGGTTTTCCTTTGGCTTTGGGCCTGAGATAAGATATGTTATGATATTATATAATAATAATATGATTGAGTTGGGGAGCCCGTCTAGGACAGGATCCCAGGGATTCAGTTGCGATTTACTCAAATGTCGGGCTGATGTCGTCCAACTCGCGTTCGAGGTTGCCTTGCGTTGCCAATCCGGGTTGAGAGCCCGAATTCGAAGTACGGATAGTACACTAGCCCCCCGAGCTCTGAGGACCGTAGGTCGAGGAGTTAAGACCGAGCTCGTTGGAGGTAAGTGGATTTTCGCGTACGCTATCTGAGGAAAGGCTTTTCTTTTCTTTTACTCGCACCTCTTCGTCTCTTTTCGCTTTACTTCTTTGTTTCCCTTCTGACTTCTCGAGTACGATAGCTTTTCTTGCTTTCTTGCTCTCTTTTGTCTCCTTTCTCCTTCTTTCTCGTGCTTCCGTCGTCGTTTCCGGTAACCCCTTTCTTGTTAGGGTGAGTGAAGTACCGTGGAGTGCAGCCATCGAGGACGCTGGCTTTCGAAGGGGGTGGTAATGTAACAAGTCCCACATCGGGGAGGTCTCCTCACCAAGGAGTCCTTATAAGGCGGGAGGTTCTCCAACCTCTTGGGCCGGCTTTTGAGGGATGGTTCCCCTCCTTAGCCTTATGCTCGTTACAATGGTGCTTTCATTGAGAGCCAGCCAAATCGAGAAGGGCTACCCACGGAGGGTTCTGACCATCGGAGGGTTCTGACCGGCAAGAAGGCCGAGTGAAGTGCCGGTGAGTGAAGTACCGTGGAGTGCAGCCATCGAGGACGCTGGCTTTCGAAGGGGGTGGTAATGTAACAAGTCCCACATCGGGGAGGTCTCCTCACCAAGGAGTCCTTATAAGGCGGGAGGTTCTCCAACCTCTTGGGCCGGCTTTTGAGGGATGGTTCCCCTCCTTAGCCTTATGCTCGTTACACATGCACAACCATGCATGATGATGACACGTTTGTTTTCCCATTGTTGGCCTTGCAAGTCACGGTTTTCCCCAACCGTGGCCTTTGCATTGCGATCACATATTGCCACGTGATGGATGATAGGTGTTGCAGCCATTTCATGAAGACTTGGTCTTCCATTTGTCGAAGTGGTGGAGTTGATTTGACACTTTTGGAGAACTCACCACCGTGCTTTGATAGGGAAGTGTTGAGAGACACCAAAGGACTCGAGACCATTTTCTTGAGAGACTACTTTGAAGCGAGGTCAACATGGAAGGTCGGTCCAATTCCTAAACATGGAGCTGATGATGAGGACTATGTTAAGGCAACGATTACTTTTGGAAGAGATGATATTGAAAGCATGAAAAAATGGGCGTTGAATCGGTGGAAAAAAGATGACGAATTTCAAGCGCCGCAATATCTATCAAAATTTGTGGTGACGTGTGCCTTCATGTGGGTTAGCTTGGTTAAAGCAAAATATAGAAAGGATGATGATGAAGTAGCAGAGATGAAAGAAGAGTACTTCCATTTTGCAGCAGATTGTAGAGATCGACTTGAGTATCCGATACCAGCGACTTACTTCGGAAATTGCTTAACGATATGTCATGTAGCGCTAAAGAGAAAAGACCTAAAGGGAGAAGGTGGTTTTATGAACGCAGTGAAGGCCATTGCAAAGACAATAACTGATATGAAAACTGAACCTCTGAAAGGTGCAGAAAACTGGAAGGAATTGTTTATGATGTTTCTATCGGGAAGAATAGCCATAGTTACAGGATCACCTAAGTTCACTGTTTATGAGACTGACTTTGGATTTGGAAAACCTACGAAAGTGGAGATGGTACATCCTCGTATGTGTGTGTCTTTTGCCGAAAGTGGAGACAAGGAAGGTGGATTAGAGCTTGGCTTGGTAGTCAGATAATTAGTAAAAAAATACCATGCACAAATAAATCAAAAAACAGTGGACGTCGGTCACAAATGTAAGGGAAGACGTTACAAAAAAGTGTCGGGCTAAAAACAACATTTAATATAATTAAGTGACAAATCTTGTGTCGATTAAAATATTTATAGATTATTGGTTTTACCGTACACTAGAGTCTTCTTTCTAACTCCTTTCATTTCCCTATTTTAGGTATTTTAGAATGTCTCCCACACACTACGACGATTCAACCAGCAGTTTCTCTCGATCTAGATGGCTCCTGAGATCAAACATTACGCAGTGAAGATCTTTGAGGAATGAATTTTATTCTTTGAGTTGGATATCTTTTAAAATTGATGGATGTTAATATTTTAATAATAAAAAATATATGTCATATTATATCAATGTTGTCTTGATTTTTTTATAATATTAAAAGTTATTAATTAAATGTATTTTCATGTAATTATATTTAAACAATATGTTAGAAATTTTATTTTTAATGATTATTGTGGGCTACATATATTATTTGTAGTATATTAGTTATTTATATTTAGTTAGACTCAATAAAAGTGATTTAATTTTAGTGAATTTTTAGATTGTCAACCGGAAAAACTAATATGAGCCCAAATAAGTAAAAATTAGATTTGGCCCGTTAGGGGCTAATAAGAACCCTAACATGTTTAAAATCATCAAGATGATCATGGTCCAAATATGTTAAATCAGAAACACA